GTACATCGACACGGTGATCCGCGTATGAAAGTAACAGTCGCATAAATCTCGGGCTGTTGCACTTGCAGTCGAGCGCCCTTGGCTCCCGTTCTGCACACGTGTGCCACTGTGTATACATGTATACGGATGATGTGCATACACCGGAGTCGTTGCTATACGGTTGTCGCCGCCGCCGTCGGATTCCTGCACGGTGGCAGTTATCATCACGTTCCGGATCATCGGCCTCGAGGACGAACGAGGTCGTCTCGGGTTAAAAGTTTGCGCAGTAGCTGCGCGCTCATCATCGTCGTTGCGTCGTGCGACTTGCAAACAAAAAATTGATACACACGAGCTATAAAAAGTGTGTAATAATAATGATAATAATAATAATAATTATTATTATTATTATTATGTATACATTGTATGTATGATTGATATAATAATATAATAAAACACAATATGATATTTACATATTTTATTATACACTATGTCTGTACAATTATATAATTATGATTGCTTACAATGTGCGCACTAGTGTTTCTTTTTTAAATATCTGTGACAAAGGATGATGTATGCCGCTTAATTATTACCGCATGCGCCATAAGGGTTAATTACTTTTTATGTCCCGGAATCTCCTCAAAAAACGATTTGTTTTTCTAATTTAGAATAATAATATACATAGACGAATCGTTTGCCAGAAAAAAAGCTTTATATTGATTAGTTTCACGCGATTCGCGGTTGCTTATCGGTAATGGTTACTAATTTGATATACATTTAATAGTGACTAATTTCGATAAACCTTAACGAAAAAGTTCAATGTTCAAATTATTAACACCTGGCATAAAATAAGGGTGTTAAAATAGTATACTACTACTATAGTTTGCTTTAATTTGCTCAAGTCACGCAACACATACATTTTGACTTGTTTTTAATCAAATGAAATTTACAGACGCATGGTTGAAAACATTTGATATTATTTCCAACAGTTGCGATTCCGTTTAGTAGTCGTATAGGTGCTGCAAAACGATCTATGTATTTTAATACAATACACGCAATAATTTTGATGTATGTATAATAGGGTTCACCGTTGAAAGTATTGATCTCACAGCTGGAAAATGTATAAAGTAAATCGTGTACCACGGAGCGAGTCGTCGAGACGTGTAATTCTTCGTTTAGTACTGAATCCACGAGAAAAATACTATGATCGTTGAATTTTTCCCGCCTACTGCGTCCTCTCGCCGTTTTCGCCACACGGGACCTCCGCGTTGTAGAACCTCCGGTTCTAGTCCGGGATATTTTATATTATTATTATTATTAACGGGCGAACACACCGACTGTACAATACATCTATGATATTTATAATATAATCGTTGGAAAATGTCGTCATTAACATCCCATTGGAATTATATCACGAACGCGCGGGCACGTACGTACATTTATGTTTTCGCGGTACGCGCCGAATGCCAAGCGTATTTGTACAGGCGCGCGTGTGCCGTACGCGTCGTTTGTGCGCGTACGAAAAGAAATCGATCAATCATGTGGCTCATTATGCGTCCGGCTCCGTTTTTGATATATTTATTTCGGGACGCTTAAAAATGTTTATGTAATTATACGGACCCGTTCGCCGCCACCGCCGCGGATACCATTGCGCACGCATAATGACATTTCTTTCTGTATCGTTTTTTATTTATTTATTATTATTATTAATTTTTTTTTTTTTTTTTTCGTTATACTTTTCAATTAACCGACCATAAAGAGAATAGAAACCGATCGCGCGGGTGAAAATCGCAAGTCACGCGTTATCAACAGCTCTCCGGGTCTCTTTGTTCGATCACATGTGCCTGTACCTGTATAATATTATACTGTGTACACTGTACGGTGTGCAGCTCATTATATTCTCTCTCCGCTGCTGCAGCTCGTTACACTATTTTTTCTCGTCGTCGTCAACGTACTATACCTATAAATGTGTACGATAACCGGCGGCGGCCGAGGATTCGGGCGCGTTGCAATCAATCATTTCCCAAAAATTATGTATTACGCGGTGCATTCAAATACAGCAGTTGTGGCCCAACACATAATTATATACCGGAACATTAGTTTCGGACAGTACGGTCGAATCGTCTCTTTTGTTGTGTACTGAATAATAGTGCGTGCCCATATAGTAATAATAATAATAATAATAATAATACGTCGTTGTACAAAATATCGAAGAGAGCGAAATTAATGTACTGTAAGATGCCCGCGACTGTTCCAGATATGTATACGCATTACATATACATGTCATTACTATCGATTCGTTTTCGCATCATAATAAGAACTCGCCAAGAGAAGAAACTATAAAACGTTTAGTAGATATCCTTTTTTTCGTTAGCGTATTACACTGTATATCTATTCGGTTCAATGTGTTACGTCATCGCTGGTCTTCACGTATATTACATCGTACGATTTATTTGTGATTTACTGAAAAATAAAAATCAACCAAAAATATTCGGATCCAATACAAATACGTACCTATGAAGCTATGAATTATGTTATCGCAATATTTATGATACATAGTAAAATATTATTTTTATCACATTTTCCTATAACACAAATAGATCAATGGTTCAGAAACTTTTGTTTAAAACTTCCGAAAGGCCTTCAACATAGGAACCTTAACTACAAACAAATTGCGCTTCAAACCTCCCCATAGGATGGCTACACATGAATTGTCTCCAGAAACAAAAAAAAATAGATAAGTTGATACACAAATTGTTTCTCGAGTTTTCTAGACGAATACACGAATTGTGTTCGGCTTTATCTATATATCTACACGATAAATATGAAAATAGTCAATTAATTCACCAATTTTATTAAAAAGATATCTTTCAAGTTTTCACCATTCTTATAAATTTTAAATCTAAATTTAATATTTTATTTTTTAATATAATTTAATTTACATACTTCTAATTGCATAGCAAAGATAAAAAACAATATTTAACCTACTGTTGGTAATAATTTGTTATTGACAGTCAATAGCAAAGTCTTAAGTCTGTATAAAACGGGAAGGAAAATAATGTTTTTACTTTGGGATGCAATTCGTGTAATCGTTAAAAAACGTTGGAAAGCAATTCGTGTAGTCGTTTAGAAAACCCGGAAAGCAATTCATGTGAAAAGTAGATTTCGGGACGCAATTTATAAGTGCCGCACAAGATATACCATAATCTCCTTATAGACGACAACAGTGAACCCCTCAAAAAAAAAAAAATAATAAATAAAATGATACACTGTATATCCATACAAATATAACTGCATATAATTATACGATATTGAAACATTTTTAGTAAAATATAAATAAAAATAAAATTTTTTTTTTTAATCTATACCCACACATATTGCGAAACTATTCTCATAAAATTAAATGTTAAGATAAACTTATACTGAATTTAAATTAAAAGATTCTCGTTTACATATTAAAATCTGCACGTGTAGAATTGAATTAATTAAATGTTCATAATTTTTGGTACGCATAGTGAACAAGAATTAATACGATATAAAATATTACGCTTCTAGGCTTTAAGGTCAAAAACACGTAATTTTATACCTGTATTATACGATAATATACATATTAATGTAACGTAGAATCATACTATAATCCATATAATACTGTTAAAAACATATTAAATTAATTTTGAAGGTAACCGTTATTTGGATTTCCATTCGATTTCTATACGTATGTTCGTGCATAACGGAGACTTTAACGATCGTATTATTTTATCATAGTAGATGGTGTTTTTAAAACAGAGTATATTTAATAATATATTATATTTACACTCTTACCATCAAGATTATTTTTTCATAAATTCTCATCTATGAAGAATTTTTCTAATAAATATCAAAAAACGAAGAAGTTTATAAATATTCATTTATGTAATAAAACCAAAAAACTTTTTCAGTAACATAAACTATTTGAAATACCTATCTTCAGATTTTCATTATATAACAAAATAAAAAATAATATATTTTTTACCAATACATTTGTATTTATTTCAAAAGATCAAAAGATCAACAATTACATTTTTATTCGTGAGAGTAAAAAATAAAAATATGAGTACAGAAATCTTTATTAATATAAAACACATCATAACCAAGGCTAGGATTTGTATGCAATAAAAAATTGTAAGATATGCATTTTATTTACCAAAATATGCAAAAATATGCATTTACATTTTTCTAAGATAAATACAAAAATATGATTACAAAAAAAATATTTATTTATTGAAATACCTACATCAGTGGTTAGCTGTTTTTCTTAATATAACTAAGAAATAAAACAAAATAAAATGTATGTTTAACAAAACCAATTTTTATACTTTAATCAGCAGGGCTAGAATTAAATACGAAATATTAATGCTAAATGATAGATATTAATTATGAAATATACTATAAAACATTCATTTTTCGCATTCTTATAATTGAAATATGCAATAATATTCATTTTATTCAATATATGCAATAATATGCATTTTATCCAAAATATGCAAAGACATGCAAAATAAAAACACCACAATTTATCTTATCATGAGGTGATTCGTGGACATTAATAATCAGAAGTCGCAAAAAAACATACTGTTGCATACAAATCATAGCGCTGATTCATAACTTACAAATTGATCGTAAGAAATACGATCTTGACTTCTATGGAACTAATTTTAATATTATTAATATTTACATAATATCTAATTTTTTGATACTAACTATTTAATTGAATAAAGAATATACAGTGAAACCTCTGAATAGCGGACACTCTCGGTCGCCGAAATTTTGTCCGCTATTTAGAGGTGTCCGCTATTTAGAGGAAAATATTTTTTTTAACAAATAAATAAATTCATTAATTTTATTTTATATTACTTTTACATTAATTAAATACACGATAAAACTAACATTTATGAAAAAAAACCAGTTACCTAAATTTTTATTTTATTTTTACATTATTTAAATATGAAAACTAAAAAAATAAAAACTAATAAAAATAAAAAAAAATCTGTTACTTTAGTTTGTTTACTAATTGCAGGCGTAGTTATTTCGTATGTTAAGGCATTTTCTAATTGGATTGTGTTTGAGAACAATGAACTATTCTGTACCTCGATAGAAGAAATATATGTACGTATGTCTTTTACTGCTAGCAATGCCTCTCGTAGACTTCTTATTTTTGGAATTTCTTGATCTTCGGACCCATCATTTTCTTCATCACTTTCTTCTTCATTTTGGGTAGACATGCTCGTAGTATCAGATGAATTTTCGATATCGGCGTCGTAAGTCTCTACGCAATCGTCTAGTGTTATGTAGTCATTTTCCGTAATTGTATTGTCAATCACTTTAATAAGATTGCCAAGTTCTTCTATTGGTGTAAGTAGATCATCAACGTCTGTAACATTGTTATCACGGTGCCTAAAGCCAGACCGCAAAAAGCATTTCTTCACTGTTTCGGGTTGAATGTTTTTTGTAGATGAAGACACCCAGTAAATTGCATCCATTATGTTGATAGGTTGACTTGAATTGGCATCCAAATCGGCAACAGCTTTACGTAACAGTTGCGTACGATATAATTTCTTAAACTGATGGATTACTCCTTGGTCAAGCGGTTGGCAATGAGAAGTCATGTTAGGTGGAAAAAACACAAGTTCAATATTTTTCATTTTTAAATGTGGATGAGGAGCCGCGTTGTCTAAAAATAGTAAAACTTTTCTTTTATTTTGACCCATTCTATTATCAAATTTCATAAGCCACTCAGTCATTATTTCAGTCGTCATCCAGGCTTTTTTGTTCCAAAACCAATTGACGGGAAAGTTGTTAATATCCAATTTTTTGAAGGCTCGTGGACGTTTAGCTTTGCCTATGACGAGTGGCCGTTCAAACTCACCTAACATGTTAGTACACAAGAGTACAGTTAAACGTTCTTTTGAAATTTTTCCTCCAGTACATATCTCATTTTTAAACGCCATGGTTTTATCTGGTAGAACTCTATAAAACAATCCCGTTTCATCTGCATTAAAAATATCGCATTCTGCGTAGTTTGCTATAATTTCGGGTATTTTTGCTTTCCAGTTATCAACGGCTTCTTCATCAACACTTGCTGCTTCACCACAAACTGATTTAAAAGAAATATTATTTCTTTTCCGAAATTTTTCAAGCCAGCCATTAGAGCCTTTAAAATCAAATCCGTGCATTTCAGCGATTTGCTTACTTTTTTCTTGAAGCATCGGTCCTGAAACAGGAAGATTTTTTTCTCGTAATTTTGAAAACCAGTTTAATACTTCATTGTTGATTATAGAGGTTTCTGTTTTTTGTAGCTTTGTCCATTTCCGTTTCTCTTCTCCATTTTCAGCCCAAGTTTTGTAAAGAGCGTCTTTATTTGCTATAATATCAGCAATTTGTGTTTTACTAACACTAAATTTGTCTGCTAATGCACGAACGCCCATTGTATTTGATGTTCGAAATTCCAGAATGTCTATTTTTTCTTTTAAAGTTAATCGTTTTCTTTTGCTAGCCATAGCGCACTACAATAAAGTTTGTATAAACAATACGTTAAATAAATAAATTCGCACTACAATAAACGTTGGCACCACAAACACAACTAAATGCACATAGGACAATGCATTAGTTACAATACTTCGTTGACGCGATAATATTTCAATGACTGAACAGATAAGATTTTCATGTACAGTATAATAATGTACACATAAGATAACGTTTTTATTCAGGTATTCTAAAGTAATTCTTAATTTAAGATAAAAATAACTAATATCAATGTCATAAAAGTGTCCGTTATTTAGAGTGTCCTGTATTTAGAGGTTTTCCTATATAAAAGTGGTGAAAATGTACCCGTCCCCGAAAAAACGTCCGCTATTTAGAGGTGTCCGCTATTTAGAGGTGTCCGTTAAGGGAGGTTTCACTGTATATATATATTTATTAGACTGATTACATAAAATAGTTGTGTGATGCCAATTCGTTGTATCAGCTAATTGATAAGAAGCTTATACCATATTTATTAATATTTTTTATAGGTTATTAGCTATAATTAAATTAGTTTAAATTTTTTTCTTTTATCAATCAATATTTCTAAAAAACATATTCCACCCACTAAAAATTGAATAACCGTGTACTAAATATGAATATACTTGATTTTTATTATTGTAGTAATATTTGTTAATAGAATATATATTATTTTATAAATAGCTTACAATTTCTGCTAGAAAAGGACAAGTTTATTAATTTTTTAAGACTTTTAAGTCAAAAATATTTCATTTTTATTTTAATTTAATTTGTAATGGTATTAAAAGTATTAAAAATTCTGTTGATATAAAATTATATTTTAATGACATCAAATAAGTATAACATATTATGTAGAGTTATTTACATGTATGTCGAGGCTTAATTATATACTTGTAAGAGTTGTAATTGCAATAGGTCATTCATTCAATATTAGCTTTTTTTACTTGAAAATAATTTTTAGAAAATGTTTTATACAATAAAATACATTATCATTGACCAGTGTTTAAGGTTATAGACGTATCTATTATCTCCCAAAAACAAGGTTTTATATTTAAAAAAAAACTTAATTGTTTATTTGCCTACTTCATGATTAAAAAGAAATCTTTGCATAAATTACTTTTATTTTTCACCTATAGTTCATAAATATAATAGATAAATTATATTATATCCATACACAGTTGGATTTTAGAAGCGTATTTTGAACAGCTATTATCATGTATATGCGTGTAAATATATCAAATGATTAATTGTTAACGTAATTAATTACTTTTATTTAATTTTTTTGTAAATGGATCTAAAACGCTTTTTCTCAGAATTATCAAGTTTGATTTATATTATTTCTATAATATTAGAATACACTAAAGAAATATAAGTAATTATTTATAAATACTTAAACTATAGATGAATATAATGGTGCACCGATATTTTTGAACGTATTCAATTGAATCCGTTTATATTTTTACTTTAAAAACTAATAAATAACTAATTATTAGTTAGAACATTTTCAGAAAATTATAATACGTCTTAATTACAATTAAAAATATATGTAACTATTAAAAAAAAAAAAAAAAGTAAAAGTGAATAAATATTAAATGGATGGAATTTTAGAAAAAATTATAAGCTCCTTGGACATCAACGACTATATATAAATTATATGAAAATGTTTATTTAATTTCTTTTAAATGCATTAAAATTGGCCAAGAAACGTATGGGTGTTAAATTTTTAACGTCCAACATCATGTATCTAAAAAAAAATCAATTTTTACTCACACATTAAATTAAACTTAAATAGATCAATAGCCAATTAATATATCATTGGTACATTATCCTATGCCAGACGGAGTCGTGTTATGTAGGTATAACTTACACAATATAATAACAGTATGTCCCCAGTGTGTAACCCAGCAGTGTGTACCGAACGGTCGAAAAATCCCGCCATCGCGTTAAAAATAATAATAATAATAATAATAAAAAAAAGGAACGCTTTCTTACGTCCTCTCACTTTCTGGCCCTACTGCTCCCACTGCATCTACACGTCTTGTCTAATCGTTATGTCTGTTATGTCGGTTGCGGCGAACACGGCCGAGAACAAGTTGAGGGCGTCGCGCCAGTGATCACGCCGAGTCGCACGCGCTCAGATCGTCGGTGCTGTGTTGATGTCTCCCGAGTACAATAACTGTTGTCCATCGTTACGTGTTTTCGGGAACGAAAATAGTCGAATAGATTTAAAAACACAAATACGTAATAATCATTCGGTGTTTTTCGGTTTTTTATTCGTTTAATTGTTGTTTTCGAGTACCTACCATGGAGGAAATATCGTTTACATTTAACGTCAGTGATCAGTTCGTGTGCACTTAACGCATTTCCCGACAGTTGGACATCCATGTTGGACCACAGTGGTCGAATGATGTTAACTTTATGAAAGGTTGGCTTGGTTCACACACTTATTTATGTACATACAATTAAAATATTTCGTACGTGTTCATCAGATTATCGTTTATCTATCAATCGGACGTGTAATGTTGTACAGGTTACGTTTCACATTGTTTATTACATTACCACTGATTATTACGAATAACATACTTTGTGTACTTAATGGTTTATGATGGTTATGGGTACAAAATGGTACAAAACTAAATCGTCCTATTTTTTTTTTTTTTATTTTTTATTTTTTTTTTCGTACACGAGACCTTTAATTACTAATACTTTTGATAGCTTGCTAATTTATAGGGGAATTTATTTCTGTTTACTAGAGTAGAATGTGTAGAATTTTTTTCGTATTTATATGACTGAAATTGGAACTTTAAATTGTCAATACAATTCACGACATTATATGTGTATGATAATTGTAATGAATTAAATAAAATTATTAAATAGTTATTTGTAAATAAGTGTTAAGTGTCACCTGTAAAGCTAATATATGCCCGTTAGGTAAGATTTCACTTTAAACTATTTATTAAATTGATGTAATAGGTGTACTACATATTAAAATTTGTACTTCATAAAATATATATTATGAATAATGGATTACTATGTTGTTTGGACGGCCGATTTATTAATATTCTTGTAGAAATGAGAATATTTTATAATCAGAACTTGATTCACATTTTTACAATTATAATATTAATACTAGATAAAGGCATTTTGCATATTCAATGATGAACACATTCAACGATATTTTATTATAATAATCTAATGACAATTGTTGAATAAGTGTAATCTTCTTGTATTTATAAATTTGAATCGTCATTATTTATTGTAATTTTTTTTTGCAAAGATAAAATTACAGTAAAACGTATATGTTTTAAAGTAATTACGTGATCGTAATATATTCTTTTATTAATTTCTCTAGAATTGTATTCATATATATATATATATATATATATATATATTTTTTATTAAGGGATATATATCGAATAACAATAACCGGAAGTATATATTCTAATGTTACATAAAATAGAGAGAAATCATAATAATTTAATATTTTTTGTTTCCTAAAACACCAATTATTAATCGTGTTATTAATATTATAATTAAAAGTTATGCATTAATAATGATAATTTTTATGAAGATTATCGTCTGAAATATAATTGCCCTGGGAACGTTACGTTGTATTTTAATTGGCGGGCTTTTACTTTTGTGAAAATTATTTTTAAACACACTCGGTGTACACAACCATGATGAAGCGTCTGTCTTCAATTTTGTATCCAAGATTTATCTTAATTGCATGTAAAGTTAATTTAAATGTGAGTATTGAGCTAAATCAGATTAGGCCTATAAAATAATTAACATAATTAACATATCATAGATGGTTTGTTTATATTCGTAAATCTATAAAATTGAAAATTTACCGTCAGTGTTTACTGTTAATTTATATTATGAGTTTATGAATAGACAACGAATATCAATAACAAATTTTTAAATAAAAAAAATAAGAATAAAAAAATTGATCAACTTACTAAGAGTTGTGAGCAATAAAAGAATAAATACCGTGTCCGCTTGTATGATCGGTTTGAAGAGAATTTAATATTTTCAAATAATTTGGATTTTTATGTATATTATATAATATAAGATTTCGTATAGGGTGTATACAGTTATGCATTTTATCGGTGTAATTTCTCTGTAGAAGTATCATATTATCATGACACATCCTGTTTAATGTACCTATTTTAAACAGTTTTTAGGTGTATAATATTATTTATCTATCTACGTATATATTTCGGATGATTAATTGCTTTTTCATCATTAAAATGTATTTTCAGTGTTGGTACATTAAACAACATTTTATAATTTATTTATAATTATAATGCTGTGTTAGCTTAAATAATATGAATTGATAAAAAAATAATTCAAGAAAATGTATTTAATTAATAATATAATATAATTTGAAGTAGTGGTTATTAAATAATTAAATATCATTGAAATTTTTACATTTCATTGCGTATAAATTACCAATCATACGAAGCATATCAAAATGAAAGATCTAATTCGTATCATATTTAATAGTTTATAATTTCACATTAAGCTCGGCATAAAGACGATATTTCTAAACGAAAAACCAGAACATTCAATATACACTATATATACGGTACGTTCGTGTTAATTTTGTACTCTTTCTTTGTTACCTCTTCTAACCTTTTCTAGTCATCGTCAATGAAATTATCAAATTATCAAATTCAACATTAAGTTCAAAATCGAATAAAAAAAACACATATGTTCGTGATGCGTACATCATTGATCAATGAACTTAATCGAAAAAATCTATTACACGAGCGTTACATCATAAAATATTATCATTAATCATGCGTATAAAAAGTATACTAATAAGCAATAGTTGTAGTTGTTTTTTAGTCTTATAGCATCTTAATATGTATTTATATTAAATGCATTTTCCTTTTACCTTATGTCTCTATATAAAGCGTGCACGTATGCGCGCGTACACATATATACACGTGTGTGTGTGTGTGCGTGTGCGTGCGTGTGTGTGTGCGCATTATATTATAACAAAATCCATAATGGAAATCAGTGAACGTTGCAGATTCTTATTGGAAACGTGTTGTCGAGTCCAACGAATTGGAAGAACGCCTAATATTTAATAACTGTTTACAGTGACAGATGGAAGGAAGGTGAACACTGATAGCCTTCCGGATTCCCAGGAGCCATTGACCTATCGGTCACTATTGTACAACGATAAATTATTATTTATTAATCTTAAGCTCGGGCGGACATGAAGATGACTTATGAAATTAAATACCGTTCTAGTACGATAATAATTGTTTTAGAATATTGACCGACCTTTATCCCCTCTCGAAGGATTATATTGTTGCTATAATGCCACTTGTGTACCTAAACACATATATCTAACCTATTTACACTTACACGTATTTTGATTTATATGAAAATAATATATTCACGAACGCTCAGAGCATGATACCAAAACCACAACAATACTCGTGAGGTACAATATGATGTGTACGTTATAAGCGATCGGAATATTATATTTATTTATTGTTTTCATCTCGTATTTGTTTTCGTTAATACTCGTCATACGTATGATATTGTATTTTTCTCGCTTTTTCCTTTCTATTATTATGCGCAGGATGTCCACGAATTTAAGTCTAATAATTTGAATATAATGACGATGATGTAAATTTTAATTACTATTATAATATGTGACGTAGGATGGCGAGTGAGGTCGACGATCTGGTAATTGACAACTATTTTTCTGTTGTAATAATTTATAAATGCATATTTATTAGGACAATAAAAGTGATTTTACTAAAACTAATCGGTTATAATTTTATTTAAATTTACGTAAAATGTATGCGAAAGAATATATATTTGATAATTTCATTTAATATTTATAAAGAATAAAGTTTATCTTTATAATCTGTAGCATATCGCTCTTCCAAAATTGCACATAATGTGTGTCATACCAATTATGTAATAGTTTAAAAACGAACCATTAAAAATTATGCATTGTCTCACACTGATTTATAGATAATAAATATATATATATATATATATATATATTTGAACGCAGGATGTATGGTGTATCATGATGATATGGCAATTTTTTATTGAAATTACATTAAAACATTTGAATGTATAATATGTATAAACGTACAAGAAAGAACTGACGATGTTAACTGACTATGTCCGGTGTGTAATATTATATAATTTAAGGCTAGCTGTAATAAGTAATATAATAATCGAAAACTTTTTTTTTTGTTAAATAAGGGTAGCAATTTTGAATGAAAAAACAAATATACAAAACCTTTTTTATAAAGCATCACGTTTAATTAGTTTAACCTTGTGTATAAATGTATTATAAAATTTAGTTAAATAATTGAATGAAACCAAAAATTTATATTTACTATATATTTATACTTCATACGATTTTATAGAATTAAAATATATTTTTTTAAGGCAAAAGAACATTTAATATTATTCACCTTTTCTTGCAACGATGATATTCACAATTACTATAATATAATATTATTAACTGATTTTATAAAAAAGATTTTATACAGCTTAACATACCTATATAATTCATTAACCTTGACAGTATTTTCGAGTAGAGATTAATTGATGAACAAATAACGTGAATATTTAAAAATGATAAAAAAAATTAATTCTATTGGAATTTGATTAGCATTGATTTTTTATATGCTTACTAAAGACATAGGTATACGACTTAATGCGCATGTGTTAACATTTTTCACAGCTATTATAATTATGGAACTAAAATGTATTTTATTTATGTAATAATACTAATATAAAGCATGTGTATCATCATTTATATTACATTGAAAAAAAATCGTAATTATACATTATTGCGTAAAACACGATTCGAAATAAAAATGACAGTATATCATTAAAGCAATTAGAAAATAAAATTAAGGCGACTTAAGAAAAACTTTATGTTGTATTCTTTCTCGTTAAAAAACATTAATGGTTAGTCATCATCGTGAATAATATTTACATTTATTCATATATTTCATTTAGATATTCATAGGTATTATCCATGTTTAAATTCAAGTCATAAAGATATGTGCATATGACTACTTTTTATTTATTTATTTTTTTTGCTACAAATCATGCTACAAATCAGCAAATTAATTTAAAAAAAAATAGTAAATGTTTTTGCTATTTCAAATATTTTAACGTTTTTATCTCCTTTTCAATTATTATTCATAATATAACGTAATCAATATTAACCAATATCTAGTGAGCTTGCAGTTGATTACAATACACAATGATACGTAACTGTCGATAAGTTTTTGACTGCGTGTTTATTTTTTTACTTTATGCCAATAATGTGAATATTATTGCGATCTACAATAAAATGAAATACATATATATATATTACACCAATTGTATATACAACATAAGAGTGAAATGTTCGTAGATCGTTAAAAAATT